TGCTACTTATTATGGAGTAGTCTTCACCAGTGTCGATTAACGCTATGGTCTCGACGTCGTCAATTTTGACTTGTAGCTCGGATGTCGCATCGCCATTACTGCACTTGGCCTTCTTATCTGTGATTGTGTCAGTGTCGTCGTCTGATCCGGTTAACGATGGAGGGTTTTCAGTTTTCCTAAAATCAATGGCCCTGCCTCCACAGGTCGCTGGTTTTAGTTTTCCCGTCGCAGGATTGGTAAACGGCGCCTCGGGAAAATAGATGATGGGCGTAGACTCGGCGACATATTGCGCATCGGTGCAATCGATCGTGATTCATGTCGCTGAGTGTTTGGAGAGGCATAGCGCGAAGATAAAAATTCTTCGATTTCGTAAAGGCGCTCACCGTTACGAGGACAAGGTGCATTCACTGGGAAGCCACGTAGCCCGGCCCGACGGTAGTGGCATGTCCGATAAAGATGACCTGCCTCCCCACAGTGGTAGCAGAGGGGCCGCCGGTCTGCAGTGCGCCATACATCACTTTTACGGAGTCTCGCTTCTGGCATCGGCGGTGGCGTACTGCAAGCAAACGTCGGTGGCATAACGGGAGCTTGTGCAAACTTCGGGCGTCTGATGTCTTGCCATACGACTTGCGCGTACGAGAGCTGTGGTTGAAGTTCTAGCTGCATGCGGTGGGGCACCTCAGGCTGTGGTTGAAGAATTGCTTGCCTCACTTCTTCACGTACAACGTCCACGATTGAGGGCATCGCTGGAGGACTTTGGGTCAGTCTATTTTTCTGGAGCTCCTGCTTAATGATATCTCTCACCATTTCTCGGAGGACGTCGGCGTTGGTGGGGAGGGTTGTTGACTCCGCCCTAACTGAAGAGACGCCGAATTCTCTGTTGTACAGTCGCGCACATTGCTGTAGTCTCCTCTCCATGGTTGTTGTTTCGAATCAGAACTCCGCCACAATTTGCAGTGGATTACGCACCAGGCCTGCAAAAATCTCTTCTTTTACTCCGCGTATTAGGTGCCGCATTTCTTCTCCGCGGCCATGCTTTTGCTCGGCTCGGCGGAAAAGCTGCGACATGTATTCTATGTACATGGCCACGCTCTCGTTATTCCGTTGGTTCTTCACTTCAAGAGCAGCCTCTGCCTTCTCTTTGCAGTCCGTGTTCGGATAGGTTGCAATTAGCTCTCGTCGAAAGTCGTCCCATAACAGCAAGGATGCTTCCTGGTTCTCAAACCACGTACGTGCCGAATCTTGCAGGGCGACGTAAACGTAACGAAGTTTCCGGGCTTCGTCCCAACCATTCAAACGTGCAACGCGCTCGAAGCCTTCAAGCCAGTCCTCGGCATCTTCAAAGGTGTCACCGTGGAAGACCTCCGGTGTCCGTGGTGAATCCACGATGAGGTGAGATGGAGATGGCATCGACTGGGTGGCCATCGCAGTGACGCTTGTGCGTGAGGTCTCAACAGGTCTTGCTGGATCGATTAGGGGGCCAAACTCGGGCTGCTCACCACGTAGTCGGCGACTCGTGCGTTGGTGCACAGGTGTTAATTCTGCTGGCTCCAATCTTCTGGGATCTGGGCTTCTTTCCCTTGCCTGTGGTGGGCTTGGAATCATACCCAGCTCCTCCTCCACCAGAATGTTATCAATAAATATAGCACCTGGTACTATACAAACTATTTATTTAGGGCGAACCTGTGCCCGTAACTCAAAACTAAATGGTCAGCCAAAATGCCCCTTGCTCGCTGTCTTTATCTTCGTCTGTCTCTTTCTCTTCACTTCGAGTCTCGTGCCGGTCTTGTGGCGTAGCATCGTGGCACGTGCAGGACGGCGTTTCATGGCGCGGCTTTCTCGCTACTTGTATGCCGGCTTTTAGAACGCAAATCGTTGCACGCGTCTTCTGCAAATATCAAACGGTGGCAATATCATTGTTCATATATTTAGGCCTTTGAAATGACGCTCTTTGGCCATCAATTGGCCCTTGCACCATTAAAAAAAACTGCTCATTATCATCATCATCACCTTAAAAAATGAGCATTTCGGTCTTGACCTAACTAACTAACCTGTACAATATTTTTAAGAATTGATTGATATGTGGGGTTTAACGTACCAAAACCACCTTATGATTATGAAAGACGCCATAGTGGAGGGCTCCGGAAATTTCGACCACCTGTGGTTATTTAATGTGCACCCAAATCTGAGCACACGGGCCTACAGCATTTTCGCCTTCATCGAAAATGCAGCCGTCGCAGCCGAGATTCGTTCCCATGACATGCGGGTCAACAGTCGAGTACCTTAGCCACTAGACCACCGTGGCGGGGCAATATCTTTAATAATTGTAACTAGGCATGTTGGTATGTCAATTTTTTGGTTCAAAGTGGAATCAGCTTTGAATAGCTGTACTATTTTATTGGAGTAGAGTAAAAGTTATAACAGGTACAATGCACTAAGTTTTAAAAATTACTACACTTAGCACATACAAGCCCATATATAACAAGCTAAAGAGTAATTGAGGTTATATGCTTATTTAACATTGAAGTGTGGCTTCACAACAATGTAAATTTTTTTTTTTGGGAAGTGGGAAGGGTGGCTTCATGGCATAGCATTGTGTGCTGCAGTGAAACCACCTTTACTGTGCTTACAGTAGGGTATATGTGCTTAAATGTGCATATGTTAATTCATTTGGAATTACCTGAATTCCTGTCGAAGTGAATCCCAGATATATTAGGAACAGTCAATTCAGAATATTTTATTGAACTAAAAAGGAATAACCGAATAGTTTGATATATCAATGATTTGAAATGTAAAATTTGCCTGTTTAAGGTTTAAATGAAAGCACTGCTGGCCTCTAAACAGTTTTCGGAAACCATAACAAGCTTTAGCATGATGAGTCGCTCACATTGTGTTAAATAACAAGGTGTGTACTTTATTTGCAAGTTACTGCACTTTATTTTTTTATCATTAAAATATTCCATAAACTTGTATTGCTTCTTGTGTGCCATCAAATTTATTGTTCTCAATATTATTGAAACTTTTAAATAGGTGAATTCAGCTCCTTTGGCCACAACAGCATTTATTGACGCTAAATGTCAATACGAGCTTTGTAGCACAGTTAAAGGTTGGTTAGTGGCGGCAGTGACGTTGGCATTTTCATAACCACATGGGTATACTTCTGTGGCACTCGCAACACCAGCCATGATCTTACGATCGATGCAAACAAACAGCTATGTCATGATCTGCTTCGATGAAGTCGTTCGCTGTCTGAAGTGGTGCCCGGAAATGCTAATAAGTCTCAGAATTCACTGAGGCAGCCCGGAAATGCTAATAAGTCTCAGAATTCACTGAGGCACTGTACATCATTGTCAGCAATCATGACTCACCCAAAGTCGTCACCTGGCAGTGCACCAAAGCCCACAAGGAAACACTTTGTGATAGTGCTTTACTTGACATCACACCAAGCACCAGTAATAATTTTAGCAGAACTGGCAGGTCAATGTTTTGTTCGACTCCCAAATGTGAATTTATCAGGAATGAGGCAATAAGAACAAGAGTCCACAAGTCACAAAGGACAATGCTGCTGACGAACAACAAAGGTACAAGTCACAACTGTTGACATGTTGGCAATAGTGATGTCACTTTTGCTTCTTTATTCGGCACTCGCTGCTGTGGCATGAAAAGCAAGAAAGAGCGTAGCCTCTGAGATGTGCATTCTAAAACAGAAAATACTATGAATATGTGACAAGGCTGCACATTTCAACCATCATGCACAAAAAAAAAAAGGAAATGCAAGCATCACAACAATGCCTTCGAGTCTCATCACATTCTTCTTTCGGTTCTCTTGGCATTCAGAACCTTTGAAAAACACTATGACTGCGCATTAAAACGTGCATATTGTGCATTAAACATATTGGTGCACTCACAAGCGCAGCTCAACAAACCAGATCAATGCCATGAAATAACACCACCTTTTCGTCACCTGCACCTGAAGAGGGATTGGAGTTGTTAGAATGCAGCCATGAAATAATCAATGTTAGGAAAAATACACTTTCTGCGTTTCAGCATGGTGCAGCGTTTGTTGCAGCCTGTGTTTCGCTGTGTGGAAGTTTGAAATGCATGTACACCTGTCTCGTACTTTTTCATGGGAGATTCAAGGGGATTTCGCAACTGTTTCATATAGCCAATAATTTGATATATCCGAGTTTGATATATGCGGGATCAACTGTACTTTAATATTTACTCTAATATTCAAAGTGCATGAATATTAGCCAATGTCTACATGTTGTTTAACTATCCATCGCTATTTCTGTGCTCATAACTGTCAGGGGATCTTAGTTCATTGGAACATTCACAAATGTAAAATGAGTTCACCCCAGGTGTGCTCGCAAAGCTGATCTTCAGTGCCATTCATTGTGTTGGATAGTTTCATGACTATAAAGCTCTTTCTGAACTTCCACTTGTTCCACTTGTTCATGTGACCCACGATACCATAGTAAAGAGACATGGCAATAACTAAGCCAAATGTTGGTTTATATACATATATATATATATATATATATATAGTTTAAAAGAATCAAGCATGTAGGAAAAATTTCTCAAAAAAGACGGACATTCCTGCCACGGGACTGGCCTTCGTAAGAGTGTTGGCCAGTCCCGTGGCCGAAACGTCAGCCCTCTCTGTGCAGTTTTTTCAGCATGCTTAAAATTTTTAAAACTTTTACTGCCTGGCCAAGTGTTAGCACTTTGTTATGTATTTGTACATATTCTGAGCACAATATTCAGTGTGTTTGTCTTTCATTCTTTTCACTTGTATATAGTCATCATCACTGTGAACATCTTTGTTCGAAGAATAGGTCAGGGTGCTGAGTAAACGGCGTTGAGCTCACAATACCTCTGCTATCTTGATATATATATACTATGAGATTTAACAGACATTAATGCCAAGGAATGTATAGGGGCAGTTATTAGAACCAATGTAAAGTAAATAAGAAAGAAAAGTGGGTGAAAAAATGACTTCCCGTGAGCAGGAATCGAACTTACGACCTCCGAATTAAGCGTTCGATGCTCTACCACTGAGCTATCACGGCGACTATTCCCCCAGCCACTTTATTGGGTTTATCTGCGAATTTAAATGTGGGAGTGTCAGTCAGCGCCACCTGTAGTCATGGCGGCGAGTGTGGTACACTCTTTTTATGAGCCTGTATGGCGCCATGTGGCACGTGAACTTATTACGAGCTGGCAGCTGATCAATAGTCCCTCGTATACAACCTAACGGCACCAAGTTTGCCAGTACGAGACCCTCGTTATATATATATATATATATATATATATATATATATATATATATATATATATATATATATATATATATATAGAGAGAGAGAGAGAGAGAGAGAGAGAGAGAGATTATGTCGCTTTCCTTTTGGAGAACTATGCTGGCTGTGAATCCACTGTGGATTTCTTTCAGTATGTTTATGTAGGGTACGTCGATGCCCTGAAGCATTACTGCTGATGTCTCGACTGAGTCAAATGCCTTCTTGTAATCTGTGAAAGCTATGTGTAGGGGTTGGTTGTATTCTGCACATTTCTCTATTACCCGATTGATAGTATGAATATGGTCTATTGTGGAGTAGCCCGTACAAAATTCTGCTTGGTCCTTTGGTTGACTGAACTCTAATGTCGTCTTACATTTATTAGCTATTATTTTTGTGAATAGTTTTGTAGAGAACGAACGGTAATCTGACCAGCTTGTAATTTCTCAAGTTTTTGACGCCTTCTTTCTTATGTTTTTTTCTTGTCCACTGTTTGAAGTGCTCACTTTTCTTTTTTTTTCAGTACTAGTTGGAATTGATGTCCTATGCTACTGAATGTATTTTAGTGGTACAGATGTAGTCATCAAATGTATTCCTGTCGGCTTTGTCTCACTCGTTATTATAATAATTCAGTGAGTACCCTCTGTATAAATCTTGCCCTTTCACAATGTATGTGCCCTTCCTGCAATAATCCCTAATTGTGATTGGCAGTATATGTAAATAATAAATAATAAATTAAGATGATGATGGCATTCTTCCAAGATTCTGGTACCCTAACCATCAAGAGAGACTCGTATGTAAGGCGGCCAATTTTTCTAACGCAATTTCACCGCCATCTTTCAGAAGGCCTGTTGTTACCTTATCCTCACCAGAAGCTTTGCCTCTTTGCATTCCTTTTTCGGGCTTTCTTTACTTCCCCTATCGTTAGTGGTAGGATGTCGAATTCCTCTAGACTATTATTGTTTCTCACAATATCATCCTGGTTGTTTTCGCTTCGGTTACTTCCTGTGTCTCTTCGACTATCCTATTCAAATTGGTTAGGACATTGCCTTCTTTGTTCCTCAATGCATACATCCGATTTTCACCCCATCACAAGTTTGCTCCCGCAGCTTTTAGGCTTCTGCTGCTTTTTACATCCTGCTCAATTCTTTCCTTGTTATACCTTCTGATGTCGGCTACCTTATGCCTCTTGATTAACTTCAAAAGCTCCACTACAGCTCTATTTTGTCGGCTGCATTTGAGACTTTCATAGTTTGTTGTCTCTTAATAAAATTTTTCGTCTCCTAAGATAGTTTGCCAGAGTCCTGTCTCGTGACTGTACTTCCGACTTTCACACTCTTTGATGGTACTAGTAAGATTATCTTGTCTTTGCTAGCGTCGGTTATCTCGTTTAGTGCCTCAAATATATTTTGAAGTGAAAGTCATAATTTCTGTGCTTTCCTTTTCACCACTAGTTCAATAATTGGTTTCTTGCATATCTGTTTTTATCTTTGCTTTTTTAAATCTAAGTGAATATGAGCTCTTACCATTCTGTGGTCACTGCATCCGGTCTTGCCAACTACTTCTGCATCCTGTACAATGCCTTGGTGTGCACACAGAATGAAGTCTATTTCATTTTTAGTTTTGCCATGAGGACTTCAATACGTCCATTTAAGGTTAACTCGTTTCCTGAAGAAGGTGTTCAAGATCCGTAAATTATTACATTCTGTGAACTCTACTAATAACTCCCCTCTGGCATTTCTGATCCCATAATTTCCCACTGCATGGTCTCCGGCCTGTTTCTTGCCTACCTTGTCATTAAAGTCACCCATCAGAATAGTATACTGTGACGTTACTTTATAAATGGCTGACTCTGTCTTCATGAAAGCGTTCAACCAAATGGTCATCATGGTTCGATGTGGCACGTAGGCCTGTACCACCTTCATTTTGTACCTTTTGTTAAATTTAATTACGATACTTGCCATCCTCTCACTGATGCTATAGTATTTATTACCTTATGTTGCCAGCAATATTCTTGTGTATAAAAAACCCCACCCTTTGTTCTTTTCTGTCAACTAATCCACGGTAGCATAGGAGGTGTCCGTTCTTCAGCAATGTATAAGCCTCACTTGTCCTCCTAACTTTCGCTAAGTCATATTAGATCCTATTTCACGCTCTCTAATTTCTCGAAAAGCACAGCTAAACTAGCCTCACTGGATAGCGTTCTATCTTCCAACGTAGCCAAGTTCAGATTCTAATAGCGGCCTGTTCGGACCCAGAGATTCTTAGTACCCTTAATTGCGTCACAGGTCTCACAGGCACCTTGGACACAGAGATTCTTAGTACCCTTAATTGCGTCACAGGTCTCACAGGCACCTTGGACAGTTGCTTCGCAGCTGCTGGGGACTGAGGGCTAAGGGTTTATTGCTGTAGTCATGGGAGGTAGTCCCAATAAAGAAGGGTGTAAGGCAGAGAGACACGATCTTTTCATTGCCATATGGGTTTGTACAGGTCCTGGAAATCCTTGAAAATCCTTGAATTTGAAAAATGCATTTTCAAGGCCCTTGAGAGTCCTGAAATTTTTGCCATCCTTGAAAATCCTTGAATTTCCTGAGCAGTGCACTCTCATATCGACATTGCGACCTCCTAAATGTGGTACACGGGTGTAAGAACCTGTCGAATTCCCCATTTCTGAAGCACTAATGGGGCGTGGGTGCACATGATTTCATCATGCAAAAGTGCATGTGAAAAAAAAGTTTGTGATGAGGGTGAAGCAGTGAATGTGATAGCAAAAAATTAGAATGTCACACGAAGAAAAGCAAGCAACCTCATACATGCACCGCGCCGCTGAAGCACAAAGAACGCATGTAAAGAAAGCGCACAAGACGAGTGCTGATGAACGACTGTCATAGCTCGACACTGGAAGCGTGCTGCTTAAACAAACCAAGAACTGTGTTAGGAAGGAACACATATATCCACAGGATGAGTGTAAATTAACCACTGTCACAGTTGTTACTTCTTGGTTGTTGAGAAATGAGCTGCAACTGTGCACAAGCCGGCACTCTTGATGGGGTGGTGCCATCAAATTTCAAGGCTATAGCAAACACCTTGTGGGTTTAAGAATATATTATAAATCACTTCCCAGGTGTACCTAAATGCTCACTCTCTTAATCGAGCCCCATAGCGAGCGCGTCCAACGCTGACATAGCTCTACAGCAAGGGCAAGAAAAGTTCTAGCGACGTCACACCAGATCTGTAGTCTGCTGAGTGACCTCCTGACTTCCGCCCCATACATATCGGCAAAGCATCCGGGCTTTTGCAGGTAGCGGCGATATTGTTTTGCAGGTGCTTGTGTGGCACATGTGTGCGAGAGCTGACAATACTCAGCATGACACGTGCAAAGCTTTGTGATCACTGTCAGATACACTGCTATGTACCTGCACAACTTGGTCCCCAGAAACAGGAACTGAAAATTGTCCATACCAAAAAGGCGACAAATTATATAGCGAGAATAAATGAATCTTGGTGCGAGTATCGTGCTTATTGGAGCTATAATTAGAGCTTGCAGCAAAGAGCACACGAGCCACAAATATTGTGGCACGACCCCTTTAAGGCCCGACTACACATGTGCGTTGAAGCCCATCAGCGCCCAACTTTTCGACATGACATCGTGCCCTCTCCCCATGGAGAGGGTGCGAGAAGTCATTAATACTACGCTCTTCTTTTTATAATTGTAATATTCATATATTGTAAGTGTAATGAAATGAATCATTTTTTAAAATTTTCAGAGTGAAGAATTCCAACTTAGCATGCGCTTTGAGTCCTTGAAAAACTTGCAACAGGTCCTGGAAAGTCCTTGAATATCCTTGAATTTTTGCTTTGGAAGCCTGTACGAACCTTGGCTATTTCACAGCGTGTTTACAGGAGGTTTTCAGAACCCTAGATTGGGAAGAGTTAGGGATAAGAGTTAATGGAGAGTTTCTTAGTAACCTGCGATTCGCTGATGACATTGCCATAATGATTAACTCGGGCGACCAATTATAGCTCATGATTATTGCACTGGACACGGAAAACAGAAGAGTAAGTCTGAAAATGAATATGCACAAAACTAAAGGAATGTGCCACAGTCTCGGCAGAAAACAGCACTTGATAATTATTAAACAGACGCTGGCAGTTTTAAAGGAATATGTCTACTCACTGTGGAGCCGAATCATGAGAGTGAAATAACTAGACAAGTAAAGATGGTGTGGATCATATTCGGCAAGCATTCTCGTATCATGAATGGTAATCTATCACTAACCCTAAAGAGGAAAGTATATAACAGCTGCATCTTGCCGATACTTACCTACAGACCTTCACCCGGGCAGAAACTAGGAATATTGGAGTTACTCTATGCATACGTTTTGCACAGTCGGAATCGCGTTTTTCGCACCATATACTTAGTAACATTTCTTAGAGAGGAAAAGGTCGCAGTGGCTGCAGCGGGCAGAGAAACGCACTATGAGAGGCATGCCAATTATTATTTCAATTGTTGTGCAAGAGTTGCTAACCGAATTCTTCTTGTGTTCACATATATACATCTGTCAGACTGGTTTATGTATCAGGACGCGACTCAGAAAGCATCAAAATTCATTGAATGAAGCCATCTCATTGCACCTTGTATTTTCAGTCATGCAAATGCAATTTAATCTTTCAAGGCCAGGTAATCTTGCACAGTCACCTTTACCAGACTATGTGAAAAATCTCAGAGACATTTCATAAAGAACACCGCACCTTGTTTCAGTCAATTAACCTTC